GTAGTTGTTGCTGTTGTTGTTGTAGTTGTTGTTGTTGTTGTTGTTGTTGTTGTTGTTGTTGTTGCGGAGTGGGTCGTGCAGCTTAGGCTAGTGCCTGCAGCCAGTGGACTTGTATCTGAGAGCTCCGGTGCACAAGTCGCATGAAGGTGTACAGCTGCGAGGCATTTGATGATCAGAAGTTTGAACCAGGTTTGAGAATTGATTCGCAGAAAGATACACAAAGCAATGTATGCGAGGCTCAGGGCCTTGAGGTCAGGTTGCTTTGCAGGCCTGTGTTAGCACCTTCGCAGGCAACAAGATTTGAACCATCGATGTCATACAGAGGCTTACACCTTTAAAACTAGGACCCCCTGCCCGCTGAGAAGATGTTTCACTGTCCGCATGCCAGCGTCTTTGCGAGCCATCGTCCGAGAGTCGGAGATGAAATCACTCCCACCGAAGAGGAAGCACCCCAAACTACAAAGCCCATAGAAGCGACCCGACTGGCTGGGATGCAACCAGAAGCCGCCCATGCGGAGTGCAGTGCCATTTCGCTCGCAGCAGGAAAAAAGGTGTCTATGGCGTCGCGCGGATGGATGGACTCTTGCAGTGAAGCCCGAAACCTCAAACCTTCAGCAGAAACGGACTCTTGGCATGGGTTTTGCCGCAGATGTTCGGGCACAAGCTGCTGGCTCCTATGGCCGAGGTTGTTTCCTTGTCTTGAGGCCAGTAGGTGCACTGGGATGAAGGCTGGGCAGCGGCTTGCGGTAGTACCATGCTGCAAGCTTGAGACGGAAGTCGGAAGGATCCGAAACAGGAAGTTGAATTGATGTCCAGGGAAATAAAGAACTGCACGATGCGACCGTCGCGAGGCGGATCCTCCAGAAGATGCAGCCCTGCGCTTGGTTCGTGTGAGCTTGGTGTTGAATGTGGCGCAGGCAGGGACAGCGGAAGTCCTGCTAAGGCACCAGTGGCAAAAGCCACGGAGGAGCTCGATGGCGAGACATGGCTGGTGTGGGGTCAAGGGTACAGGGTCTTGAGAGTTTGGGGTTAGACAGTACAGTCTTCGGGTTTAGGGCCTAGAGCCGGGTGTAAGAAGGGTTCGTGTGTTGTGCTTCGTCTTCGTCTGTTTCTGCGTCTTGCTCGATGGCATTAGGCGTGTTCCTCTCATGTGTGTTGACCTTTATGTTCATTCCCGGCAGGCCGCTATCACGGGTGAAATTGCAGAAATAGATGCTGAAGCCAAGGACCAGGCCAACTCCAGTTCATCGTCAAGCAGTTGGGGAAGGATCGGACTTGCTCAGTTGATTGTGTGAGAGAAGGGGGGGGAGAGTTCTTCTGGTGCACTTTCCCCCGCGACAGCGCAAGGCTCAAGATGCCTTTATCTGCCTGATGGCAGCGTGGTATGCCGTAGGCTGGCCGTAGGCCTCGGCTGTCTCGTTGCCAGAAATAATGAATGCCGCTGATGGCACGTGGCATCTACGGCGGGTAATCATCCGCTACAGCGAGACGGGTGGAAGCAGTTTGGGCACTCGTTTCTACCTGCGCCATCTGCTGCCGACTTGGAAGGAGCGCAATCCTCAAGTAGTAGTCGTGACAGAGCATTCGAAGCTCGACCATCCGGAGCTCCTGGCTGAATGGGCAAGCGGTGAGAAGTTCGAGATTTCACTACGAAAGATGAGGCCCAGACAAATCGAGGACTTGCTGAATTTGCAGAGAAACTCTGAGTCACCAAATCTCTATCTCAGGCATGGGGGGCCGCGGGTTTGGACGGAGCGTCGGAGTGTGCAAGGCCTCTGGCAGCCCTCCCCAGAAGCCATGTTCAAGGCCCTGAAGTTCGCTCGTGAATCTTCTTGGCTTGGTCGGAAGCACCAAGATCTCAAGTATTCCTCGCAGACGCTCAAACTTTGCCAGCAGCACCTCCTGGAAAGAAAAGGAAGATGGGGGGACCAAGCCCGACACCCCAGGGGCTTCGACCGCCACGTCCTGGAGGATGTTTTGAATCGGCCCTTCATCGATTCGGAGTAGTTTATGTCTCACCTCCATGGCCGGAAGACAGCCGTGGCCCCATGAAGTCAGATGCGATCCGCCCCAGAAAGAGTTGCACAGGGTCTTGCCACGGTCCCTCCGCTTTCAAGACAGCGCGGCTTCCTCGCATGGTCGCCTGAGGACCCCACGGAAACTGGAGTCGCGTGGTTTGCTGTTGAGACGAGTGGAAGTGGGAACTCAAGGCTGGGCGTTGAGGTTGCGGGCAACTGTGCTGGTCTTCGATCTCCATAACTCCAAGCTTCTTTTCTCAAGCATGGTGTCTTGGGGCGGCAGTGTATCGAAGAGTCATACAGTGCCAAAGCACAACATAGCAAGGCTGCACATGTCCGTCTCTTCGCGTCGCTCAGGGCTGTGATTCTCGAAATTCCTCCTTTGTGTTGCATGATCATGCCATAATATCCTACGGTCGGCAAAAACTGTGGCGCCATGTAGTGTCCGGGTATCTGCTATAAATAAATCAATCAAAGGAAATGAATAAATACATGAACAAATAATATACATATACGTCTATATGTTGCACATACCAAATACTAATACACACACATATACATACATTCGATCCCTGCCAATGGTTTCGCATTTCAGGTAATTGAAAAAAAGCGTTCGAAGCTATATCGAAGGAGCTCTCCTTTTTTCTCTCTTCTGCTGGGGACGTGGCTCTCTACCTTTCTTTTCAACGTTGAGGCACAACGGATCTAAGCAGCAGGTAGGCTGATAAGCTCCGTTATTTCAGGCTGCAAGATAAATGGCTGTTTCTGTTTGTATGTCAGAAATGAGCCCTCAACTGCTTCAGTCACCACCGGTACTTACACACATATACATATACAAAAACAAATACAGATACAGATGCATATACATATACATATACAAGACACATACACATGCACATACACACATATACACACACAC